CAGTCACTCCATGGGCCGTGGAAATGGGGCACTCCACTACCTTTAAAAAGTGAAGAATTGAGCTCTGTGACTGACATATTGATGCAGTTTTGAGTTTCATGACCCATTTTGCCTGATCAAGTTATAACAGAACTAGTTTTGATTCCTTGTCTCCCCTATCCTCTCTTGGCTGCCTGCTCCCCTCCCTGTTACCCTTCCAGCCACTCCATCCCCATGGACTGTGCCAAGGGCCAACTGTCAGGGCAGCCCCTGTGCATGAAGCAGTACTACGGGCTGTTTTCTTCTTACCGGCTTCCTGGCCACACCCAGGACACACTGGTGGCCCAGAAAAGCAGCATCATGCCTGAGCCCGAGCACGTCATTGTGGCCTGCTGCAACCAGGTAAGTAGCCCCTTGTCTTGGGCTTGGGGAGGGGCATGGGCCATGTGTGGCCGTGTGCATGCACCCATTCCTGCTTCTCCAAGGGTGCTCAGCCTACATTCCTGAGTTATTGGTGAGCTGGGGCACAGTGGCCCCCAACTAGGGTCTCCTACTCCCAATCAGTGCCATTCCTCTCCATCAGTTGGGTTCCAAAAATGAGAAGAATCAACAGTTTGAGAATACACTCACTGGGCACTCATTTCAGCACTGACAGGCCGAGGGTTGTGAATGAGACCTAGCATGGCCTCAGCCCCCCACCTGCACATGTTTGTTTCCATGCAGTCACCCACTCAGGCTTTCTGAAGACACACCCTGACAGATGGACAGAGTTATGGAACCTCCCATGTGTCAGACCATGGACATAATACTTATACACACGTGCATCCTGTTTAATTCTTTTTTTTTAATTTTTTTAATTTTTATTATTTTTTTTTTTATTGAGACAGAGCCTCAAGCTATCCCCCTGGGTAGAGTGCCCTGGCATCACAGCTCACAGCAACCTCCAACTCCTGGGCTCAAGCGAGCCTCCACCTCCCGACCATAGGCGTCCGCCACAACGCCCGGCTATTTTTTGGTTGTAGCCATCATTGTTGTTTGGCAGGTCCAGGCTGGATTCGAACCTGCCACCTTAGGTGTATGTGGCTGGCGCCTTAGCCACTTGAGCCACAGGTGCCGAGCCATCCTATTTAATTCTTACAGACGAGGACATGAGATTCAGACAAGTCAAGCAGTTTGTCGAAGAGTGGGATGGACTCACTATCCCCTGCAGCACAGGCTTCCAATTGGGTTCCACATAACCAAAAAGGACCCCCTGGGGGTTGGGGGCCTGGCTGAGCTTGAAGGCTTCTGAACACTTCCCAGTGACCACCACTCTATATATTCTATGTAGTGAGAACTCCCATCAATATTGCATCTGACAAAAGTTGGGTTTTTTTTGTTTTTTTTTTTTTTTTGCTAAGACCCAAGTTTGGCGACCATCCCAGGTACTTACTCTACAGTACGTTCTTAGGCTCATGTCACATTTTGAGTGAATTGAGAGTTCACCGGAAGTCTGCCACCCCTGTTCCCAGGTTTGAAGGCCAACTAGGAGACGTCACAGCCCACCTGACACTGGCAGGCCAGCCACAAACCAAGAGCCTTTCTCCATGTTCTTTCTTTTTTTCTTTTCCTTTCCTTTCCTTTCCTTTCCTTTCCTTTCCTTTCCTTTCCTTTCCCTTCCTTCCTTTCTTTCTTTTTGACACAAAGTCCCACTATCGCCCTTGGTAGAGTGCTGCAGCATCATAGCTCACAGCAACCTCAAACTCTTGGGCTCAAGTGATTCTCTTGCCTCAGCCTCCCAACTAGCTGGGACTATAGGCTCCTGCCACAATGCCCGGCTATTTTTAGAGATGGGTTCTCCCTCTAGCTCAGCAGGATCTCCAACTCATGAGCTCAGGCAATCCACTCACCTGGGCCTTCCTGACTCCCTGTTTTCATTCAAAAACTAAAGTCAGAATTTCTCAGCCCCTGCAGGAGGCAGTCTATACCCCTTTCAGAAACACTCTTGTGGCTCCGGCCCTGAATCAGACCACAGGGACACTGTTCAGGGTGGGGGGACCAGGTATTCATGTCAATCAGCTAAAAGGGGCATCTCAACCCGGGCCTAAGACCAGACCTTTCACAAAGCTGGAAGCTTTGGACTCAGTGCTGCAGAGTGACAGCACCACAGGGCTCACATACAAAGCACACGTAGGTGCACATGTGTAGGTGTAGATGTCTGCATGGAGCGTGTTGGATTCCGTTTTAACCCTCCTCTACATATGATTCGCTAGCTTGCTGCTTTTCTCCACTCACCTTGTGTATCCCCATAGTTCTGTCTAGAGCTAGTTTGCTCTTTTTAATGGCTGGATAGACACGCAGTGGATAAGGACACTACATTTTACTCAGCCACCCCCTTCCTGGAGAACGATTTTGCTATTGCCAACAAGGCTGAGGTGCACGTTGCTCACGTCTTCCAGTACACACGGGTATGTTTCTCTGAGCCTTAGGCAAACACATGCATTTATAAGGGCAATTGCTCAGTCACAGCTATGCACATTTTTAATTTTGATAGACACTGTCCTCCAGCTGCAGTTGTACCAATTTATACTTGATTCCCTACCACATAATGGTTGTACGAGAACTAGGAACCACAAAGCAAGTTTTCTTTTGGCTGAGTTTAATCTTGCCTTCTTTGATTGTGGGCAGCTTGGAAGGAATACAGCACAGTCCACAGCACTAGGTTGATCCCCAAGTTGAGACCACTGGGAACCACCCAATGCCTTGGAAACCCTGGACCTGAGCACCCATTCCAGTCTCCCCTGCAAAGAGTGAGTGGAGGTCGTCTGGGATCACACCCAAGAGTGACGTGTTTGACCTGTCTCCCCTACAGTTCTTTGTCTTGGATGTTGTCATTAATTTCCGCCGTCTCAGTGAGGGGGATCTGTTCACTCAGTTGAGAAAGATAGTCAAAATGGCTTCCAACGAGGACGAGCGCTTGCCTCCAATCGGCCTGCTGACATCAGACGGGAGGAACGAGTGGGCAGAGGCCAGGACAGTCCTTGTGAAAGGTTAGCAGCAGCGCCCGGTGCATCTCCACGTCCATCTCATCATCCTCACACCCATCTGCTTCCCTTCCATGGGGTTGGTGCCATGGCTTCTTCTGCATCAGCCCAGCCAGCAGCTCGGGCCTCCCTCGTCCTGCTCAGGACCCATGGCAGGTCCTGTGGTCAGTTGAGACATCTTGACCCTGAAGGCACCCTGTGCCCGGTGTTTTGTTTGACAGTATGATGGCTTCTGGTGAGACTAACTAGTGCTGGGATTGTGAGATGTCTGGGAATGTTGGGGGAGGGGAAGTTCTAGCCAGAGGAAGGCGGCTGGGGGCAGCAGCTAGCCCTGCCTCGCTGGTGGGATGGCAGGTGCTCACTGAGTGCCTGCATGGCTGGGGTGCAGCCAGGTGTGGGTCTGGGGCAGAGCCTGCCTCTGGGAACATGGTTAGCTGCCTCCTTCATGTGATTTGTCTGTCCCAAGACGTTTCCTCTTCAAGCTGGCCCTTTTTCTTCTTTCTGGCTGCTGTCCTTGTGAAAATCTCCAAGCATTTCCATAAGAAAGCCAGCAATATTCTTAAAATTTGTATCATCCTTCCATAAACTACTTTACAAAACCAAAGCCAGGAGCTGGATGGAGTGCTCTCCTTCCTTGCCCCCATCAAAGATCTTGGGAGGAGAAGCAAGACTTCTACAAGTTCCCCTCTGCCCCTTGGACTTCCATTGGGTCAGGCAATCGTGTCAGACTGTGTGTGTGTCTATAACTGAGGGCCAGGGCTGGGGGGTGTGAGAGTCAGAGGTGTGAGGCCCCTGCCTCTGAGCAGCCCCGGCGTGGGGAGAGGAGCTCCTAATACATGGGGGTGGGATGTATACAAGGCCATAGAAACAGCAGGTGTGAGATAAGTACTTCAGAGCTTCAGAGAGGGAGAGAGTCCTTCCAGTTGGGATTCTGAAAGGCCTTATTGAAAAGATGGGAATGGATCAAACCCCTGTGCTAGGAGTGAGGGGGTTTGGAGGGAGGGAAGAAAGGTAGACTCAAGCAGGTGAACCAACCCTGGGCACAGCTGGCCACTCAGCAGGGAGATGCCCGGCCTGGACCATTAGGACCCCAGCTGCTGGCAATGATGCCCACTCTGGACCAATAGCGACTTGGCTGTGTAAAAACAGGCACTTACATTTTCTGGCCCCTCTCCCTAGAAGGTTCTTCCTGCCGAGCTGGCTGGCTCTCTGTGGCATGCAGAGCTCAGCTTAAGTGTGCTGGCTTCATACCCTCCTTGAGCACCCCTCCCTCACGTCTGCACATGCTGTCCCTTGCCCTGTCCCCATCCTGTGAGTGCTGCTCCTTCTCTGATGGAAGCTTTGTGTTTGTTAGATTCCTACTGATCATCTGCCTCCCCCCGGCACTCTGGGGGTTCGGGAGGACAGGGGCCTTGCCTGTTTGATTTAACTCCTGCCTCTGCTGTGCCAAACATGGCAGGGGCCTGGTTACATTGGTTAAATAAGAGAATGAGGGCGATGAGTGATAAGGCCCCACACTTATTTCCCACTTACCAATTAACTATTCTTTCATCCAATGATTGGGCACCCTGCAAAAGCTTTCTCCTAAATAGGAGGCTGTGGGGGCTGCAGGGAGGTGTGAGGGCTGACCATCCTCAGGGACCTAACTGCCACGTTGGGAGATTAATAACTTATCATTCAAAAGTGAGTTAATTCCCTCAGGAAACCACAGTGTAATCAAATCCCACTCCTCTCCCCTCCAGGGACAGAGACAGGCATCAAAATAACCGCCTCTGCTTCCAGCATCACTTCTACTTTATTACCAGGCCAGGCCCAGGACACCTCCCTCCAGGCCCAGCGGGATTGCCTTGAGGTCTAAGTGCTTGAGCTGCGCTGATCGGAATTAATTTGTTAATGGCACTTGATCTGGCTTTCTGAATGGAAGTGCTGTTCTGAGGAAGCAGGACAGAAGGGAGGGGACATACACTTCCCCTTGGACGACCTGATTAATCCAGTTAGCATTGGTTATTCTGCACAGTTAGAGACCCAGATCCTTCATGAAGCCCTCCAGCCCCCCCCCCATGGAAGGGAAGCAGAGACACCATTTAGGAAATGATTTCAGTTTCCAAGTGAAAGATTATGGCAGCTTGGGCCAGGATTGAGAGCAATGGTGGGAAGACAGGCGAGATCTAGACATATTTCAAAGCAGAAGCATCAGGAAAGAGAAGAGAAGCAAGAGAGGTTCGTGGGCGTGTGGTCTGAGCCACTGAGTGTATGGGTGGTGGTACCGTTTACTGAGATGAGAAACAGGACGGGGAAGGGTACAGAACGGAGAACAGAACGGAGACGTCCCTTCTGAGGTCATTGTGTCTGAGATGCCTTGAGTCGTCTCAGCGGAGATGTCGAGTTTGATCTATGTGTTTGGAGCTCCAGGGAGAGGTCAGTACAGAGTTAGACATTTGAGAGCCATCAGCACATAAATGATGTCTAGAGTCAGGGACCTGGATGAGATCATCTAGGAACAGACAGAAGAACAGGGGCCTGGAGGTCAGGTAGAGGAAGACACCAAGGGGACTGAGAAAGAGAAGTTGATGAAGCAGAGGGAGACCAGGAGAATCACAAAGTTCCATCCTCACCCTCCCACGTGGAATTCCAATGAGAGACCGAGGAAGAACAGGACACAGAGGAGACATGGGGCTGGCAGTCCTGGTGTCCTCGGTGAGCTTGCCAAGGGTCAGACTGAGTAGCGGGAAGAATGAATAGTTACATCCTATGGACATTGTCCAGCACTGGAGATTATTAACGTGGTGGTCAACGACAGTAAGTATGGTTGACTTTTTTTAGACATTTTGGTATTACAAAGACCATGAAGTGGAGGAGCTGCTGGATGAGGATGGGGGCCAAGGGACGTGTTTTCAGGAGAGGCGAGTGTGTGGAAGGAATTCAGTACAAGGGATTGGGGAAGAGAGAGGAGGTAAACTGAGGGAGGGGTCCTTGCAAAGCCAGAAGAGGCTGGAACCCAGAGAATACGAGACCTTTTGTTGGTACAGGGAGAAACAGACAGCGTGGGCCTGAGGCCCGAGGGACTGTGGCTGTGGTGGCAGCAGCAGGGGGAGGATCCCAGCTGGCAGTTCCTGGTCGAAGACCATCAGAGTTGCAGGGTAAGCTGGGGGAGGCAAGGAGCAGGGTTCTACAGGCAAAGGGAATGTATGAAATGCCTCCTGGAATGTGGGAGAGAGAACTTAGGAAACATGATAAGATTCATGGACTGTGTTAGGTTCTCATATGAGGGTTGGTGAGCACACATTTTAGAAGAAGGCAATTAGCATTGTTATGCAATATCCCCACCCCACCCCTGGCCCCACATACACAATGTTCAGTCCTCAGGTTCAGGTTCAGCCAGAGTTGGTGGATGTAATCGAAGGAAGTGGGCCCCTCAGGGAGGCAGAGGAGATGGGAACACTTGCAGCAGAAGTGAGCTGTGTAGGGGTCTGGCCCGTCCTCAGGCATGTGCTATGGAGAGCTTAGAAGGAGGGAAGGAGAAGGTGAGGATGGAGTGCACTCAGGGCACACGGGGAGTGGTGGTGGATGGAAGAGCCCACGAGCCCCCGCGGGGATGTGCTCCACTGCCAAGATGCTCCCAAATCCTTAACTTTTAGAAAGATGTGGGTGTCCAGCTGTGGTGTTGGGGCTGAGGTTCTTTCTGGCCTGCAGCAGTATCCCAGTTAACACTGCAGATATGCTCTCAACCCTCTGAGCTGCAGCCCCAAGGTCCCTAAGCCCTTTCCAGGACCTAGATACAGAACAGTGTCCATGGGCACTGGGCCAGGCAGGGGCTTGCCAGCACCAGGCCTCGGCCAAGCCAAGCTCCTTTCACTCTGGTGGAGGTCTAGACTGAGGAGCCTGAGCTCAGATAAAACATGTTCCTGGGTTCTCATGAAGTCAACCAAGGCCCAGCAAGGCAGGGGTTTGTCCACCCTGTGAGTTCCCAGGCGGTCCTGCCCAACCCTCTGAGGGGACAGAGAACAAGGAGATCCAGGAACCACCAGGGTGGCACAGCTTGTGTGAAGGGGCACCAGGATGCCTGCTGCATCCCCACAGCCCCCACATGGGGCTTGCTGCACAGAGTTGCTCAGGCACAGTGCAGGAGTATGTGCAATGCCATCACTGAGGCAGCCTGGTCACCCACGGGCCTCTGCCATTGTCCTCCTGGGGTCCTGCTACCAGGGCATGCAGGCTAAAACCCGAGGAGCACTTCTGACAGAGTCCTGAGGGATGTGGAAGCAGCATCGCCAACCCGCCATAACTCAGGAGGGCTTCCTGTCCAAAGCCAGGTGGGCTGAGGTCAGTGTGACTCAGCCCTGGCTGCCGACTGGGATTGTTGGCTGACGACATCAGCATCGTCTAGAGCCTTCCTTAAAAAACAAAACAAAACAGATTCCTGGGCCCCGGTGATTTTCCAGTGGTACAGGAGTGGGGCCAAGGAATCTATTTTTAAAGCGTCCTGGTATTTTCACTTGCAGCCTAGGCTGGGACCCACTTTCCCTGATCTTAGAAGCTGCCGTGTGGCCTGGTCTCCCTTTGTGCTGGGCCCTGCCCAGGTGTTTGCAGTCCCTTGTCATCGTATGTCTTTGCTGTGTCTGTGAGTGGGGATTTCATCCCCACTGAACAGAAGAGGTTGCATCTTCCACAGGTTGAGCAGTTCCCCATCCTTAGAGGTATCAGTGGAGAAGCAAGGGCTAGCACCAGGTCCCTGTCCCTCCACTGCAGCCCTCAGGGAAGGGTGGGAATCTAAGATGAGCCTGAGGTCTGAGAAAGGGCCTGCACGTCCTCTCAGGGCCTCCCTCCGCACCCAGCCTGGATGCTGCAGCCTTCCTGAACCCAGGAGGAGCCAACACCGTTGTCCTGGTCTGAGAATTTAATTAGACATTTGGCCCTGAGTCTGGAAGACTGCAGTGCTTGTCAATTTGCAGAAGAAGGATGGGCAGCTTGGAGAGCCCCCAGCCCACTGGCTTTCCTGGGTGCTT